TTTTAGATAGAAGTGCTGCACATTCCAGCTTATAGTAAAATTTACATATAAAAAAAAATATATTTGTTTAGGTGACTCGCGATTTGTCTATTAATTGAAAATTTTCGAAAATATTATTGCTGATACAAAGAAGATTTGCAAATTTTTATAAATAAATTTTACTATTGAGTAAATGTAGAATACACCAATCTAAAACTTTTTTCTTACTAAGTAAATTATACTTAGGCTTCTAATGAAAGTTGTAAAGCTTATCAAAACACATCTATGGTAATAAGAATGCCTGGTGGTTCTTGAGAAATCTTTAAAAACCATTTTGCTGACATATAAAATTTTTTTAAAAAAATCTATTTTTTTAAAGAAATTTATATGTTAGCAAAATGTTTTTTAAAGATTTCTCAAAAACTACTAAGCCAATTTTAACATTCTTATCACTATTAGATATGTCTTGATAAGCTTTACAACTTTCATTAGAAGCCCAAGTGTAATTTATTTAGTAAGAAAAAAAGTTTTAGATAAGTGCACTTCACATTTGGCTTAATAGTATAAAAATTTGCAGATCTTCTCTAATTAACTAGTGAATCACCAATTAATAGAATAAGTTAAGTAAAATAAAGAAAGATATATAAACATTTTATAGTTATTTGTATATAATTTTTAGTCTCTGATACAAGTTATAGTGCTTTTTTTTTTTTTTTGGTTTTAAAGTGACTTCTTAGTTACTATTCTTTTATTCAGTTATTGTTAACTTTTATGGTATAGTATATACTATACCGTATACATATTTGAAGAATATAACTAGCCACATGTATAACTTTTGATTATCTATTTAAGTAGTCCTTTATTATTAAATTTTACACTAGCTGCTATACCTAAAACCCTACCGTATTATCCATTTAAACTCTCTGCATCTATGTACATTAATCCTCTAACTGAGCAAAAATACATTAGTATCTTTTATTTTCAGATTATTGACTTAGAACTTTAAAACAGACCTACTTTATAGGGGTTTTTTGTCCTCAAGATAAACCTGCTAGAGCTTTTTGTATCTACAATCTTGGCTAACCTAGACTTTAATAACTTATACCAAGTCTGAAAATAAGTATTTGTGAGCTAAAGCTGCTATCATTACCTACTTCTGCCTTTGTAAAGTTCACCCAAACCTTAGTATATACTTTACGGACTAACACCGACTTTCTTTTATCAACAGCACCCCAAACTCCCAATCCAGATAGCTTGAAAAAAGACTAGTAGGCATTTTCTTGATATTCTGATTGAATCCTTTTTTCTTGTTTATATGATGCCACCCCTATATACACATGGCCTGGTTAGTATTAGTGTTTGCCAAATATCTGGTCCTTGTCTAGTTTACTGTTGATGTCTGATCGCTAATAATTATCTTTTATATAGTACCATCAAAGATCTGTGCTATCTCTCTACTCGAGACTTGCCAAGTGAAATTCAGTATACCTAGCCCGTGGATTTATACAACTGTTTTACTCAGATTTTATATAACTCTTGTGTCATACTATAGTTCCACAGTCTTCTAGTACAAGCTGATATGACCAAAGCTACAGATCTGATAATTCATCAGATTACACACAGTCTGCCGTAACACATTCTGTAAAATTCGAATTTAGCTAAATATATCTGTTTTTTAATATTTTATATATATAGCTTTTGTTGACACAATACTAATACCAAAACTTCAAGTATCTTAAAACTTTTTAGGCCTTGAATCTTCAATTTGCTTTTGGTACAGTTTGGTCCAAGTAATTATCAGAAAAAATTTTGATTGTTCAAATTTGATTGGTTATTAAAAATAAAATTTTTATATTTTCATGTAACCTATGTGAAAATAGCTAATAAAAATAGATATTTCTAATCTTTATACTATATTAAAATCAAATTTTGAACACAACTTAAAGCAATAAAAAGTTTATGAAAATTTGTAAAAATTTTAGATTATTTAAAAAGGTTCTTGTAAACATTAACATCACTAGTAAAATTTTGGCTTTAATATGTAACAATGATTATCATTAACAAAAAAATTATGTAAATGCTAATTGACTAGGCTTAACGAAAAAACTTTGTAAATGCTAATTGACTAGTTATGTGAATAGACTAGAAAAACCACCGCTTGGCATTTGCTTTCAAGTGGGGTTTTTTTAATCCATTTTCCATATAGATGAAAGCACAAGTACACCCTTTATGAATGCACATTCACCGTGTGTACTTAAAGAGGTTTGACAATCTTGTGATGAGACCCAATCTAGCAAATTTTTTAGAGTTTGCTTCCTGTAAGTTATAAATTTAAAGGCCCAATGATAAGCTTTCTCTTTGCAGCAACAATTTATACATAAAATTGCAAAAATAGAAACCGAACTATCATCTAAACGTTAATAATCAAAATTTCAAACTAATTTCATTCGAACGACTTAACATCCCTAGAGATACTATTAATGATAAGCATATAAGTTTAAAGATTAAAAAAGTATATTAACAACTAGTTCAACTCTTAATAAAATATTCAATTTATATCGATATTTAATATATAAAAAAAAAACTTTTTTTTTATAAAGCATAATGGTCAACCGATTTATAAAAGATATAAATCTTGGTTATACAATACATAGTTATATACAAACGATTAACAATAATGCCTTTAAATATTCAAATTATAAAATGTACACGACAAACGAATTAAATGTTTAGTTATAATTTATTCTTACTATACATGATAGTTGCAATCACTCGGACCCTCGGTCAGAAGCATCGTCATCTGTTTCCTCCTGTCCAAATTATATATTGTATAAGCCTTGAATTATTACAGTAAATTCACAGAAAAGGCACAATAAACGAGTGTTGAAGCGAAAATCTGTACTATAATCAGTTACAAGGTTTCACTTGGCAACACTCTACTAAATAAATATGAGATCATGGACAAATACCTCTATTTGACGCTTTACACGAATTATACGACGACCAGTAGGATTAAATATGCCTCTGGAAGCACGAGCTTTACGACCCTCTTTAATGTCATCTGAAATAATATTACCAACGTCCATCGAGTTTAACTCCGCCTCAAGTTCTCGTCGTTCACGAACCTTCTTACATTTTTCCAGAGTTGGTCGACCTATGATAAAAACATAGGAATCGTTATTTTGAAAATCTTTTATCAACCATTAATTATCAAAAAAACAAACCTTTGATACCCAAGTCTCTAAGAATTTTATTTAATCTGTCGATTTGGCTTGAGATAGTGTCACAATCAGCTAGTTCTCTCGACCTGTAATTTAATACATCATACTAAATGTTAATGTCTATGCCATCGAACGGACGAATGAATGCAAACTTGAAACATACCAGACTTTACGTACTCCACATTTCACAATAAACGCTTTCAGTTCCTTGATAGTTGCTTCATCATCATTGTTAGGCTAAGACAAAGACAGTCACATTAATTACATGAAGGACTATAGAAACATTATTTAATTATTACCGAAGCGACTTGCGCGTTTTTTCCTTTTCCAGTCTTGCGCTTCTTTGGCGGATCATCCTCGAGCTCGCTGTGACTATCCCCGATATTAGAATTCGGGCGTTTAATTGTAGTGGATTTTGCCTTTCTCACTTTTTTGACTATTTCATACTCATTGTCAGATACCTCCGCGTCATTAGATCGTTTTGATTCACTATTAATATCATTTTCACTATCATCTTCCATATTACTGTCGGCGGACATGTCATGTTTGAACTCTTTCGTCTGGGATTTATTTAAGCCTTGATCTGATTCTTGTGCCACTTTGTTCTCGAGGGCCATTACTGATCCACCGTCCTCAACAATGTCATTGTCTTTAAAGTCTTCTAAAATAAACAGTCTTTTAGATGGTTTTGCTTGATTCGTGGTTTTATCCAATTAACAATGAATTTAAAAGTAAGGCACTCAACAATAGTTATCAGAAAAGAACGTTCTGTAGAGCCCTTCAACTATGTAGCACTAAGTAGCACTATTAGGAAAAATTAAAAAGGACCTGAAGAAAAATGATCTACATTTTAAAGAATTAATTATAGGTATAACTTGTTTCAATAAACTATCTAAAAGAAGGTTCCAATAGTGAAAGTTCATCGATTAACGGATAAATTCTCTATTACCGTCCGAGGAACTAGCGTGCAATTACCTACTAAACTGGAAAAGTAAATCACTAAACTAGCCCGTTATCCGAAAAAATTCGTTAAGGGAGAATGAATTGCCATCTTCAGACACAGAATCCTCTAAGGTTAAATTAGTCTTTAATGTCATTCTTTTTATGGCCGCAATTTTCACTACCGTAATTATCGTTCGTTTCATTGTCATTAAACGAAAATTCCTTTGTATTAAATTGTGCTTGGGATTCTTTGTTTCTCTAAAACCTTATGTTATTCTGAATCCACCTTAACTCCTGAAGTCGATATAATAAATTTCAAATTTGATGATGTTTAGATTCTTCTCCATGTGTTTTTTTTTTGTTTTCAGCGTCTTAAAAGTGGTGATTTATTCTCTCCTAACGAATTTTTTCAGATAACAGGCTAGTTTAGTGGTGTACTTTTCGGTTCAATAGATAACCTCGACGTCAACTCCTCGAGCGATATGGTTCTTAAACATCAGTGAACCCGAGGATTGTCTGTTAATCGATGAAATTTCACTATGAAATAGTTTTTTGGATATTTTAATAAGTTCTACCTTTAATTCTTTAAGAACGTAGATTATTTTTCTTCAGATATTTTTTAATTTCCCTGATAGTGCTAAATCATCAAAAGTTTCTATAGAATTCATGCTGTAACATTATTTTAGACAACCGTTGCTTGGGTGCCTTACTTTTAGATTTATCGTAAGTGGAAAGATCTTTTTCGATTAAACTGCAGAGCTTTTCTTACCAACTCTTCCAGGTTTTGATCTTGATGAATATTCACTAGATACATCCTTTGATTTCTGTAATAACAATTACAGAAAGTTTGCGATTGTCATACATCAAAGAAATGATTATACTTCTCGTTATACTCACCGAATTCTGGATCGCTTCATCAACAAACCCACGTATAAGATCCTTCCAAGGTTGCTTATCTAAGAATTTATCTGTTAATCCGAGTTTAGCTTCGGCATCCCTTCTTACTTGTTTAATAGTTATTGTCCTTTATGAAATGTAATTGTCATTTGAATTTAAGCCCTACGTTATGTTAACATATACGAAGGAACTTCCTCAACTAACTTTAAATCTGCCGACTGCACAATAGTTTGACAAGCTTTCTTTAGTGTAATTTCGTCAAGTTCGACGTCAGTAACTCGCTTATTCCGTGTTGCCATTTCTCGATACATATATATGTATCCTGTTTAGACGACTCACTATAGATACGTAGATATATTTATATACTGTTAAAAAATGATAGCAATAGTGGGGATTACGAAGTCATCTTCTAATATTACCTCAATTAGAAGCAGAAAAATCATCGGCATGAACGAAAAAGTTGAAGTTATATAGCGATAGGAAACAATGTAATCAAAAATAAAATTGACCAATAATATAACAGATCTATGTTTAAATGTTTAATGCCAAAACAAAGATCCGACGCGAAAAAATTTCTTGTACGTACGTACGTACGACAAAAACAATATCAGATATCAGATATATTTCTCCAATCGGATAATACGTATATGTTTATAAAACTTAAAATATACTATATATCTAAAATAACTTCTATGTATTATTTTAAGGTTTTAATTCAAACAAGAAATTAATAGAATTAAAATGTTTAATAAAAAATATATAGTTTTAAGTTAGAACCATGCAAAATTAACTGATTGGTTTTCGTGAGCCGGGTCAAATTTTTTTTTAATAACCGGATGGATTTTTATTTTATCTGAAACTAGAAAAAAGCCAGCCGATCGGGTCTATTTAAAAGTTTCAAGTTACGTCTGAATATGGGTAATTATTTTCGAACCCGGACCAATTTTTAAGTTACACATACAGTATTTATTAAATAAATGAAGTAAAGCAAGGCTTGCATAGGAGGATTTCAAAGCCATTATTAGCTATTATCTTTACTTTGTGCCTTACTTCAAACATTATACATATTCGATACGTATTATATTTTTATCTTTTATTAAAAAAGGGATCTCTTGCAGTATAGTGACATTTACTAAAATGGGGTCTTTACCTTGATAATCACCTTTCGACATTTCCGGTCGGGTTTATTTCCAATAAAAGATGATTGACATATAAACATGAACCGATACTCGGATTTGTTTTTGTTCTCGAAGGATGATTTTCAAGACAAAAATTCCAAATATATTTTTGATCAATTGATTTAGAATAGGTGTTTTTACGGACTATAGTACCCGGATATGATACATTCCACAGCTAAAATCCAAGTTAGTACCCGGGTATTATATAAGAGGCGTATTTTACATAGAAATGATATCGA